CCCTCCCTGTGTAACACTCTAAAACATTACAGTGTTAATTACATTACGGTGTTAATTTTCTTAACCTGAGAATAAAGAGAAGGAAAGCTGCTAAAAGTCTTTGGATTTTAGACATTCATAAATTCATTGAACATATAGGCCGAGGCGGAAGACTTTTTTAAGTGTGCATGCCAAAACTGCCAAATCTATTATGAAAATTTTCTCATCTGCCAACCAAAATTTTCAGAAGCAATTATTATTTGATGTCTTTTTAGTATCGAGAGAACTTTTTCAAATAATCAAAAATCCACATTTAAACACATTTTAGAAATTCCAAAAATACATAAAAGGATGGAAAAAATCACTCCACATCTGGCTGCGTAATGAATTATGCAACAACTTGTTTTAGAAATAGATTTTTGTTTCACTTTCTTATTATTATTACTCAAACAATTGAGGTTTGTTTCTTTACTGGATTTTTATTTAGTATCATTCTAGATACTAAATAAAAATGCAGTAAAGAAACAAACATCAACATAGAGTTCGTCGCGGGATGATACGAACATGAAGGCTTGTTTTGACTCAATAAAATTGCATTCTATTAAGTTAAAATATATAACTCAGCGAAGATATTGAATATTTAGTTTTTAAGGCAAGCTCTGAGTTGCGTGCCGAAAAAAAAAATCATTGGCGTGTCAAGGGTGGCCCATTCTTGAAATAGTGTTTAACTAATGGAAAGTTTTTTGCTTAAATTAGATTTATCGCAAAATTTCCCAGTAATGTTACCTCCTACAAAGACATCAATAGTCAAACCAACATTTGCTTTGGATCAGATATTATTTACAATATATCACTGTGTTCTATTTAAGAATTCGGAAGTTGTAACAGGATTTGTTAAGTTACTAATTCTCTGAATGTATCCATTATATTCTTCCGATATTATTTTAATATATTCATTAACTAACCTACGTCATTGTACTCAAGCAATGATGTAATTTGTTCATAAACGCCATTCTACGCACGTGGTCTGATGCACGTAAGTATAAAAAATAAAACACCGTACTCCGATGTCATAATTATTTAAAACAAACACCGATCATCTTATAACAAAATAAATTTAGGTGTTAAGAATAAAAATAATGTAGAATTTACAATGCAAATAGCTATACACATCAAAGATGCACCCACTCCATCAAAACTTGTAATGTCACTCTGAAAGATTTTCATTGGCTACTAGGCGCCATCCCTCTCCTTTCACCGATTTTAATTAACATTTAAAAGTTGTTTAAATGTGCCAGTGTTCTGTATATAACCGCACGTGGTCAAAATGAGTCGACGAATCATAGAGTTCATCGCGGGATGATACGAACATGAAGGTTTGTTTTGACGCAGTGCATATTTAGATTAAACGAATGCTAGTAGGTTCACACACGAAGATAAGACTGTCCACAGCTGGACACCGGATACTCAGCTGAAGATAGTCAAAAAGAATCATGTTATCCTGTACCCGACATGCTGAGGAGTACAGAATTCATTGCAGATAATATACTAGAAGAGAATGTACAGCTGTACTCCATAGTGGGCGCAACAATCGGAATTGAAACCAATGTAGTAGGCTGCTAGTAGGAAGTGTGTGAAAATAAAAGATGGACAAAACATCCGGCATCGGATTGGTTTGAATTAGGCTTAATCGATTATGATATTAAATTATGCTTCCAGTATGGATTGTTATCCTAACTAACTTTCAATAAATTTAAATTCTCCCGCCTTTTCAAAGAGATTTAAATTTCCGCAGAGAAACATGCTACATGGTGCACATTAATCGGTTTATCATAGACCTGTAACTGCATCTTTTGAGGTTATATTTGATTTTGTATCCTGCAGTCATATTCCGTCCCACCTTTACATTTAGCTTTTTCTATGTTATTATAGGCATAGCTTCAATTTTCGGCCTGGTGGACGTATAGAACATTTATTTTTAGGTAAAAAAAAATAAAGATAATACGTTGCATCCTGTTTATTTACGTTATCTTTCTAAAGGCGCATCCACACTTTCGCTATTCGCCGAATGTATGAATGGTTTACTCGTGACGAATATTCGGCATTCGCCGTTTCACGATTCTTGTCGGTAAATTGGGCCAAATTGAAGAACCTGAATATTCGTGTTGTCTGGCCACACTGCTAGGGGAAAGTATCGGAATCATGTCAATTTTTTTCAAATTTTTCAAAAGATTTTTACGCTTCCGAGACATTTTGAGACTCCCTGAATCCAAAAAAGACCAGGAAAAAAACTCCGTGAATATGTTAGTGTGTGTTAGCCTCTATTTCGTTTAATTAATATCTCAGGATGGAGTGAAGATTAAGAACAAAATTTGGATTTGGAAGCTTGTGTATATCTTATATAAAGGAGCATTGATGTCATTAAATTTTGGTTATGGAAAGTCGAGGGGATGAAGAGATAGAGTGGTCAAGTGTTATATCTTGCGTGAGGTCGGACTTAATGATTTTACTTGTTAGCATTTATAGTTTTCTTCTTTTTAAAATTAAAACTCATCTCTATTCTCAAAATTAAGTCTCTCATCATTTTATAATACATAATTCAAAATATAGAATGTTTTTATAACAAAATTTTATAACAGATGACACCACACATAATTTTATATATTTATTGTGATTATTAATATAAATTATTTTTTAAGTAAAATTCCATAACAGCCGGGAAAGTTACGCAACTCGTTGCTAGATTTTTAACTTGATCTAGTTTTTTAATTTTGAATTTACTTTTTTTTCAATTTGGTTTATAGTTTAAATATTTATTTAACTTTTTTCTCTGTAATTTTCTGGTCTTTTTTGCAATACGGATTTGTTGTGCTGGTTTTTTATAGTCGTTTCTTTTTCACATTCACATTTTTCAACTTTGATGAAGTGATATCATCCATCTTCTTTTAGGCTTTTTTAATTAACAGGCATGGACTATTTAAAATTATAAAAGTGAAGGCTTTGAGAATTTGTTTCTCTTGTAAGAGTAACAAATTCGAAGCTGATCATGCTTTAGATTGCTTAGAAGATCAATCATTGATCACGGAATTTTTTCTAATTACTACTGCTTCTTGTAAAGAATGATCCTTTAATAAAAAAGCCACCTGAAATCTGTATTTCAAGCAAGCAAAGACTATCAGCAACTATTCATTCCCGCTATAACTTGATTTAAGTTGTAACGGCAATGGGCATAAAGAACTTCAGGTCAAATATTACGCTAATTTCAAAAACTTTTATTAATCACACTATTGATGTTATCAAGAAAATAACGCTTAGCTCGTTTTACCTGCTAAATAGCAGGTAAAACGAGTCACGTATAACGTATAAATCTTTCTCCTTTCAGGTGAGGCAAGATATACGTTACAGATGTGCGTGCCATTGTTATTCAATGTAACATGAAAGACTGCATTTTTAGAATGTCATTTTTGAAAGAAAAAGGAATTGTTTGAAATAGTACAAGAAACATTTAGTAAGCTTAATTTTTGGACATTTCAAATCTTGTTTCTGATAGTACCAATGTGCATCTAATATGGCCGGCAAACACGATGGCTTTAATATGAAATTAAAGCAAGCTTAATTAATTAATTGGATCACATACATATCTGGTAACGTATGAAACTAACAATGCAGTATTAATAATACACGCGTTTCATTCTTTGGTTTTTTCAATCGTGCGCCATATTTTTTAGGTATTTTTATCTGTTCGTGTATTCATTTGATGAACAAGCTTACATCAGCAAACCATAATCGTGCAAGAATTGTGCGAGGTGTGTATTATTCCCGTTGTTCAATATAATCTGTACAGCAAGTCCTGTGACGTCCTACATCTAGCTCATAAGACGTTACTTACTTTCTCGGTTACCCAAGTAACATATAAAAACTGCTTTTCTAAACAATCCCATATAAAATTGAAATTGAGGTTGTTCCTTTACTCAAAAATATTTAGCTTGTTATAAACTTATATGCATTAAGAAACATGTGTTGCTTGACATTGAATGAAATAAGTCTGCCTACCTAGTTAATAAAAAAAAAAATCAAAATTACTGTGTTAGAAAAGGCCCATTGAACATGAGTAAAAAGTTATTCATGTTCAGTAGACAACAGATTATAGAATTATTATTTGGTAAATTTTGATAGAACAATTTTAGGTTTATATAAAGTTAAAATTTTTCTAAACTTTCATTCAAGCTCATTTATATTACTATTTTAAATTCTCTAGAAAAAATGCTGCTATTACTTTTATAGATTTTATGGAAGCTCAATTAATACTGCCTCAAATAGGCCGAATTATTTGGTTTTTGTTTTACAAATAAAGAAAAATTTAGTTTATTTCCAACAAGGAAATTCTCAGAAGTTTCAAAATTTTCTGCTGGGAGGAAGATACACCCATCTCCGTCGGTGTCTTATGCGCCAAGAACTCAGAATATCTAGTAATAATCATTTTGTTTTCCTAAAAATATATACAGAATAAAATTGAGTTGTTCACACATAAAATTTTGAATTTTTTTTTCATAAAAAGCCATTTTTCCACCCGCTTACACGAACAGGAAGGGAAACACGTAGATCATAGAAGAAACACCGCCAACCCAGACCAGAGATAACTAGCCAACTGAAAATTAATATATACGTAAAATAAAATAACAATTACACAAACATTTTATTTATTTTTTTAAAAACTTTCATTCAATATACAAATTCTATCCATCACGATAATAATAATTTGCGTAATAATCGCTACGCCATCTAGTAGTCAATCTATAAACATAATGATTAATAATGAAAAAAAAAACGTTTAAAATAGTTTATAATATAAAAATATAATTTATCGTAAAGAATGTAAAATTAAAACACAAACTTTTATTATTTGTATAAAATTTGTTAAAACACGTAACAATATATATATTAAAAAATATATTTATACGATTAGATAATGACCGCTAGGAGACCGTATCACGTGATCTAACCGAGGTATTATAAGGCGGATCGATCAGCGGAACCGATCGTAGCCAGCACCTCCATATTAACGGACGAAGGGGAAGTCACTCGTAGGTTAGATTTCGTTGGTGTGTTGCTATAGAATCTCTCCCTTCCCCACTCCTTCCCCTCGCTTTAGTTTCCCTTTGTAAATTTTTAATTGCTGTTCGAGCACTACGATGATCTACGTACAAGTGGCTTTCGTTGCATTTATGTTCGCTGTATTGCATTTGGCTTCGGGTAAGTATTTAGGCTTAGAAAATTATACAATTTTTCCTTATATACAGTAGAGTTTGTATTTATAATGATTTTCTTGGAAGCTAAGTTCTATAAATTTCTATTCGCAAGAGCGAGAACGATGGACCCGTGTGCATATCTGGTAGCAGCATCAACATCATTAAACATCGAGAGATAAGCACACGAAATTGTAAATTACTAGCGAGGTTGCGGCCGAAGTTTTCATCTGTAAAACTCGAACGTCGAGCGCTCGACGTTCACGTTTTACATATGAAAACCTCGCTAATAGTAAGTCGGTACATGTAGAGTTTATTAGGCAAAACGAAAAATCATCGTAAACGAAGGCACGTACAGAAACGCCCGAAGCTATATTATAGTAACAAACGTTTTAATAGAGATGTTTACGTTCCGTCTGAATCTTTTTTTTACTTGAATTTCAAGTAGAATTGGAAATAAAAACGTATTTCTAATATTGTATTATTATCGTAATGGCGAATGTTCATATGGCAGCAAAGAAGTTTTTATATAAATTGAGCGGCAATTAGGTCACATCAATTATGTATTTATTAAATAAATTGCTATAAAAGCTCTTATGCTTGGAAGAATCTTAAAATTTTTCTCCCCCGTCTAAAATATAAAAAAATGTAGTTTTTTTTTGTTGAGTAATTTAAAGAGATTTCTGTTTTGTAATAGCAAATTTTTAAATCGAAATTTTAGCAATAAATGGATTTAATTACTTTCGAAATAATATATAATATATATATCCGATTTTTTAAAATCATTTTTGATTATTGTACTAATAAAAAAATCTTAGGTTAGGTTAGATTACTGTGCAGAAATTTCCTTTCTATAGTGCAAGTTCATGTTCTAAAGAGATAGTACTGTACTATAAATTTTAAATTATTAGAATTTTAGTCATTTTTTAAAAACAAGAATTACACGTGATAGTTTTTTTTCTATGAAGAGACTATTTACTACATAAAATACGACCTTTCTCCTCCTTTGATAAAAGGAAAAGCCTTTATTTAGATAATTGCCGTTCACCTAATGTATAAACATGCTTAACTCTTGATCTATGTTCACTCCACATCGCTCGTATTAACTCATTTATCTTTTATTATCACTCTTATTATCTGCATTTTTTAAGGTTCGGATTATTTCCGACTTTATTTACTTCGGGGCATTATTATTATTATTATTATTACTACATATATTNTCAAGATTTTTATATTTTTGGAACCAGGGAACCTTGAAACGTCGAGAAATGCGAAAAAAATTCGGGTTTTTTTTGTGTGTGTGCGTGTGTCACAATTTTGTTCACCTTTTCAGAAGCTTAACAACTATGTTTTTGTCGAAAATTTATAAAATTTTGTATGGAAATTTATGTATCAAGAGGATTGATGCTATGAAATTCTGGTGATTAAAGTTCAACAGGGTTATCGTGTGTCATGTCTCGAATAGGGTCGTACTTATTCACGATTTTACTCATATTAGCATTTACAATTTTTTATAAATCCATCCCTACCCTCACAGTTAAGCTTTTTGCCATTTTAATATAATTAAAAATATAAAAGGTTTTTTAAATAAAATATCATAATAGATGACGCCACACACAGTTGTAAATGTTACCAGCAAAGTTAAGCAACTTGTTACTGCATTTATTAAAATTTGTTTTAATAACATGATCTAGATTTATCATAAGTTTTTTAAATAAAATATCATAATAGATGGCGCCACACACAGTTGTAAATGTTACCAGCAAAGTTAAGCAACTCGTTACCGCATTTATTAAAATTTGTTTTAATGACGTGATCTAGATTTATCATATTTGAAAGATCGTCGGAGAGTTTTACGTTTTTACTTTATGTTAGTCCGGTATTCAAAAATATCAAAAATATTTAGTACATTGATTACTGTAACTTCAATGGTGTAACAAGANTATCCTTACTTATTCTTATCCATATAACTTTTATACAGCGCAGAAGGCTATTATTTGTACTTTCCCGACTCTGTTATATATAACACAGGTAAAGTATGGCGATCATTCAAAAGTAACCTTCAAGATTTTTATATTTTTGGAACCAGGGAACCTTGAAACGTCGAGAAATGCGAAAAAAATTCGGGTTTTTTTTGTGTGTGTGCGTGTGTCACAATTTTGTTCACCTTTTCAGAAGCTTAACAACTATGTTTTTGTCGAAAATTTATAAAATTTTGTATGGAAATTTATGTATCAAGAGGATTGATGCTATGAAATTCTGGTGATTAAAGTTCAACAGGGTTATCGTGTGTCATGTCTCGAATAGGGTCGTACTTATTCACGATTTTACTCATATTAGCATTTACAATTTTTTATAAATCCATCCCTACCCTCACAGTTAAGCTTTTTGCCATTTTAATATAATTAAAAATATAAAAGGTTTTTTAAAATAANGAAGGCCATTTCTCCAAGTCCATCACGAGTTCTGACATATCCAGAACAAATCACTTGTAAAAATTCCTTGAAATTTCTGACCCGGACCACAGCCTACAACTTATTGTAGGCTGTGGTCCTGGGCTCGAACCTGGGTCTCCCAAAGCGACAAGCTGACGCCTTTTCCTCCTCGGCGAATAGTTTAAAGGCAAGAATTCTGCCAAATATTTACCTTGACACTCATTCATGTGAAAAACAAAGATTTGAGATATACCAAATCTGGTCTTTTGCGTCAGACATGCGATTATGGGAGGATGTTAAATTTAGTGAAGACACACAAGCTGGGAAAAATGTTAGTACAGTAAAATTTGAATAAAACGGAAAAATTATTCAGAACTGAACGAATTTTCTGTTAAATTTTACGATAAGCCGGAAATCTGTGCAGAGACGGAAAAGGTTTTCGTGTATGAAGAAGGTAACTGAAAGGTATTTGTTAATTGAAGGTAACTGAACTTGCTTGGATAAAGCGAAAAGTTAAGATTTCACGTGTAGACAAATAAGGAAAATCCCCTCCAGATCAGACACGTTGGCAGGGAAGAGGCTCGTGAAACTAAAGCTCTTTCCGAATTTCGGTAGAAGCCCAATGTCACAAAACACAAAACGACTGCCGGAAGGCCCAGCGGTTAAGTTGTCAGGTATTTAAAATCGAGAAATGAGCTCCCCAAGGAAAATTCTAGCTACAGTTTTGCTTCGAATATTATTAACCGTCACCTGTATTCTTAGAACGATTTCGAATCTTATCAGAAAAACGAACGTCAGATGAAAAGGAGATATACGGATACGAGATCTTTATTAATAGGGCCTATTAGTTTTTATTAGAATTTACCAAGGGCAAAGTTGAATATTATATCTTTAAGAATCGACGATTTTCAATGAGCTTTCGAAAACAGTTCTCGAAAACAAGAAATAAACGTAATCGGTGAAAGCAATGAGAATAAGTAACACTCAATTCTAATTTGCCTTGTTAGTAACTAATTAGTACCGAGTATTCGAAAACAAATAGATTAACGTGTTGATAATTGCAAGATTAAAGTAAACAATTGATTGGCGTATTGAAATTTCTTAAGAAGCCAGATCACGCAATAAGTCGATCTCTATTAATTAATGTAATGAGATTAGAATTTTCTACAGCAGAGAGAAACATTAGTTTTGGTATTCGAATTGTCTTGTTCGCTGTTGTGTGAGCTCATAAGGTCCGCATCCGAGAAGTATTCGAATGCCTAGCACGAGTCCTTCGAAACAACGAGAACTTTTTGCAATATTGCATCTTAATTTTTACACGCGAATACTTCATCTTTAGTTGTAATAATTTTGAATTCATTTAGATTCAACCTAGTAATAAAATTGTTTAACGTATGTATAAGTAATCTTACTGCAAAAAAACGAACGTAACTGTGATATTTATTTGCTGTAGTTTAGAGGTAAAAAATCGTACTAAAACCTGTTCAAAATAAAAAAATAATAATAACAATACGATATCGTGCGATCCCGGTTTACACGGGTTTTACTTTAATAACAAAAGGACATTTTCTTGCTAAAGACGTACAGAAAATTGTACAATTACAAACCGTATATAGTATTAGAGAGAGAAAATCTAGTTTTTCGATTCTTAATTGAATAACACGTTGCTTTTATCTTCCTTGTCTTCGAAACGTTTCTTCATATTTTTTTACTAATTAACTTTCGAAATACACTAGACTCTTGCTAATCCGGCCAGTGATTGCAGAGAGGAGTGCCAGATTAGCCAGATTGAGTCCCAAAACCAATGAATGACATGACCTGTCGCCCTTCGGTACTGATTATTTTGTACAGGCGGCTTCGACAAAAACGTTGATTAGCTATTTAATTCCGGTATTATTCATTTGAACTTCAACTGGTGGTAGAGCATTTACACTAGTAAAAACTTGTATAATTTTACGTTGTATAAATTTCGCCAACATGCCAGAAAGCATGACTCAAACCAAAATTTTAATACATCAAAGGACTTGGGATATAAATTATTGCAATTACTATATTGTAAATATCAGAAAAGAAATAAGAATATAAAATTTTATTTATAATGTAANCTCGCTAATAGTAAGTCGGTACATGTAGAGTTTATTAGGCAAAACGAAAAATCATCGTAAACGAAGGCACGTACAGAAACGCCCGAAGCTATATTATAGTAACAAACGTTTTAATAGAGATGTTTACGTTCCGTCTGAATCTTTTTTTTACTTGAATTTCAAGTAGAATTGGAAATAAAAACGTATTTCTAATATTGTATTATTATCGTAATGGCGAATGTTCATATGGCAGCAAAGAAGTTTTTATATAAATTGAGCGGCAATTAGGTCACATCAATTATGTATTTATTAAATAAATTGCTATAAAAGCTCTTATGCTTGGAAGAATCTTAAAATTTTTCTCCCCCGTCTAAAATATAAAAAAATGTAGTTTTTTTTTGTTGAGTAATTTAAAGAGATTTCTGTTTTGTAATAGCAAATTTTTAAATCGAAATTTTAGCAATAAATGGATTTAATTACTTTCGAAATAATATATAATATATATATCCGATTTTTTAAAATCATTTTTGATTATTGTACTAATAAAAAAATCTTAGGTTAGGTTAGATTACTGTGCAGAAATTTCCTTTCTATAGTGCAAGTTCATGTTCTAAAGAGATAGTACTGTACTATAAATTTTAAATTATTAGAATTTTAGTCATTTTTTAAAAACAAGAATTACACGTGATAGTTTTTTTTCTATGAAGAGACTATTTACTACATAAAATACGACCTTTCTCCTCCTTTGATAAAAGGAAAAGCCTTTATTTAGATAATTGCCGTTCACCTAATGTATAAACATGCTTAACTCTTGATCTATGTTCACTCCACATCGCTCGTATTAACTCATTTATCTTTTATTATCACTCTTATTATCTGCATTTTTTAAGGTTCGGATTATTTCCGACTTTATTTACTTCGGGGCATTATTATTATTATTATTACTACATATATTCTTTATATCCTGGAATGCATTTTAAATTTGTTATTTCATGCCGAATGTTCAGTTTTCGCGGTTAAAGTATATTTATCTTACTAATTTTACTTCCATACTTTGCATTTCAAGTATTGTTTACATCAAAAAATCGTTAGTCTAAATGTTTGCTCTATGGAAACTCGTGTGTTCTACAAACAAGTTAAAATTAATTGCATCTAAATTAATCCTTCCAATCGATTTTTCAAACTTAATCCAAGAAAAATATCTTCCAAAATTGAAGTGAAATTGCTTGAATAGATGTAAATTCCTTAGTTCTCAACTATTTCAAAACCTTTTGCTATTAGAAAAACTAATTATTTTACTATTTCGAAACTTTTAGATAATATTCTATAATCAAAATTTCAGATCTTTCTTCCATCTCAAATGTTTTAAACCCATCGAATTAACTAAATAATCACAAAAGAAATTATAAGAGCCCCACCTAAATATCACTCTTCTGAAAGTAGTTCATCTACTAATCTTTCTCACGCACGTTTGATTAAAGTCCATTTTTGTGTTTGTGCAACGCATCACTTTTTATAATACAAATATCCAATAACTGCGGCAGGTAACTGTGCAGCATCCTACCTAGATGGTTACATAAAATACTTAAATATTCCGAGCAGTTAATGCTTCTAATTTAGATAAAAGCTTTACCGTTTCATACTGCACTCCCCCCACATTTTCGCGTAGCGGTGTACGACCGACTGACGTCACATAATTAAAATTAACATGCATTTATAATCCCTTATGTAATCTGGTTATTTTAACGGGTTCGAAAATTGCCATAAAATAGGTTACTGGCTTTGTGTAACGTATAGTTTATTTTTTATTTTTTTTATTTCTGTCTGCCGTGTTGGACAGACGTCACAAATAATAGGAAATATTACAAATATACGAAATTGAATTACCAATCTGTTTTGCTGTCTGTAAATCGGAATTGGTTTAAAAAAAGGAAGTGGTTTATTATTTTAAAAAGAACTCCTTTTTTTTTTTAGCCGTCACGCCCTTAGCACATGTTGAACGTAGGTTTATCTAATTGTAGCAATTGTGTGGAAAGTCAAATTCTTCGCTCTTAAGTGATACTTCTTTACATATTAAAGTGCAGAACAGGATTATGGAGGAAAATATACACGATAGTGTAAATTTTGCCGCCATATATCCATCAGCACGTTATCAGGAAGTCTTGCAATCGCTTTTAACCTGTTTCTGTTAACGTCATAGACCCGAGCGATGACGTAATGCCCGGATGCTGCAAGAACTGTTTTGCAATTACTTTATCGCCTCTACAACTACTGTCTTCTGGGATATGCCAATTTTTTTTTTTTTTTTTTTTCAATACTTCGATTGAATATCAGAAAATCTAAATAGTTAATCGGATTTCAATATAAATAAAGATTAACTTCATATCAATAACACATAGTCATACGTTATGAATTCCTATAAATATAAAATTAATAAGTTGCTAATAAAAAGTTTATTTTTTATTGCTTGCTTTCGCCTTCCTTTTATTAAATTAATTGCTAACATTTTTCGTGTTTTATAGCTGAGGACGAACCGGTGATTTGTTACGTATGTAATTCTAAACACGATGAAAGATGCCAGAGAGGGAAGCTGGATGATAGTCTCTTGAAAAATTGCAGTGATTTGAAAATGGGTTCCAAATACACATCCTGCCGCACCATTGAACAAAACATAGATTTCAAAATGCTGAATAGTAAGTATGAAATTTTTTACATAATATCGTAGCTATGTAATTAAAAAGCTGCAGTATAATTAGTAGGATGATGATGAGGATGTAGAGCAGCTAATATCTATCAGATTAAGCTATTTTACCATATTAAAGTTGTTTTTAATTATATCAATTTTCTTTTATTAAATCAAATATCTTAAATATATATTATTATTAAATTACATTTATTTAAAAGCGTCCTCTCTAAAAATAATCTTATAAAAATTGATTGTGCTCAAATATTGTTTCTTAACAAAAATTAATATTAATTAATATAATGTGAATGCAACAATTATCTTGACATTTAATATTTGTGTGTAATTCTTTGGAATTTTTTTAAAATTTGGCACACATACACTTACATATAGAATGTAAAAAAAAAATGCATTAAATAAATAAGACAATCTTTAGATTTATACATTTTCACATGTCCCTCCCTCTTTTTTAAAAAAACTTATTTTTTGTTCCAGTGGAACCTAACAGCAGAATTATACGCCAGTGTGCTCAATGGGATAGCAGTCGAGCCTGTTACTACAGAGGAGGCTTTGGAGGCAGAGTCAATGTATGCCATTGCAAAGGAAGAGGATGCAATGGTGCTAACAGTCACAATAGTGCAATCTTTATGGTTTTCGTGTGTTTGGCATTAACGTTAAGGGTGCTGCTCTGAGAAAGGATGAGCTATTTCATTGTGTCACTTTGTGACACTGTAGATAGCAAAGTTTACCCTTTGATTATCTCATACCACTCACAGATTAGTGGAAAATCAAAATTTTTGTTCTAAACAAACTAGTTTTTTTGTTCATAGTTGCGAACTTCCCAAAATACCGAAATTAAATAGACTAAAATGAAAACATTTTAATTTTTTTATGTAAATATTTCTAAAATTGGATATTAGAAAAGCATTTACTTGTAGATAGTACAAAGAGATTTAGTATTTGGAGTATTATACAGTATTTAATAAGTTCAAAATTTATTTTATACTCAAGACTATCCAATCATTCCAAATTTTAGCTGTGACATGCTTATAAATGTGACTTCCAACAGTTAAGCTACTTATAAAATGCCAAAATTTCTTCCATTTTTCTTAAATTTATTATATAAAATTATACATATGCATGCTAGACCTACATATTTGTCTACAAAATAAATTTTTACAGAGTTGGAAATTTGTCAACTTGAACTACTTCCATCAAATTTGACAAATTTTAAACAAAGTTCTACTCTATCTTTAATAATTATATGTATTTTTGATAAAGAACTCATTTTGGATGATTGCAGCTTTACAATGTCATTGTTGTAATAGTTTATCATTCCAGTTATTTCATACCAGAAAAACCAGGAAGGTCGAATAAAAGCCTATTTGAAAATACTTACTTCGTTTCTTTTCTCTGTCTTCGTATATTAATTAATAAAGAGAAGATGCGGAAGCAGTTTTTAGAACTTATTACTCAACTTAATACTCTGGATAAATTTTGTATCTCGTCCCAAATATCTAAGTTTGGATCCGCGCGGTTAATAATAGAAATACTCTCGTACCACTAACTGCATTCGTTTTTAAGTTGTATTCCCGGTCGCTTCTTCTGTATTTTACTAGGCTTATATAAAAATGTGGAAACAATACCTTTTATTCTTATTCTTAACACTAGCATCGTTATCCGTCGCATCGAAAGATAAGAAGGAAGGTAAGCTTTAATTTTATACATGAATCTATAATAAAAAGGTTCGACTATCGTGAAAAATTGATCGGTTGGGAACCAATTCGATACATTAGATGTCTAAAGGTCATATTAATTAATTAAGAAAACTCGTGAAAACTATTAACAATTAAACGTTAATTTACTGAAGTTATTCGTACAAGTTTGGCACCGTTCCATTTTTCATAATTAAGAATACCAAGATATCTTTCCTGGAAAAAAATAGTCGTCTTAGTGTAAGCCATCTTAAAGCGGTTTGTATTTTCGATACGGAAAAATTAATATAAGTAGTTTAAACACAGTTTACACAAAATGTCCTACATCGAACGAAGTCTGAGGGCTTTCAATCGGTAAAAAAAAAAAGTCACCCGAGAAATAGGACACGAGTTTAATATTTATTACGAGTAGAACTGGTTCTGTTAGTAGTTTCTTCGAATATTGCAATAACTGGTGAAAGTTACTATTCATCTAGAAATAATTTCATGCTCAGTCGATAATGAACTGTTTGTACAAGTATAAGCGGCATCGCTTGAAACATGGCTACATCCATCACTACTAATACACAGATGACTCGACAGTGATATAGAAACTGCTAAACTTTCGCTTCTAATGAAAATTTCTGAGATAAATAAACGTACTAGCAATGTGTAGCCTAGTTTTCTGAAATAATCTACTATAATTATAAAATTCTCGATTTATTTTTTTATATTTAAAAAGGAAATTATGTTTTACATGTTATTCAATAATAAAATTATAATCATACAATAATTAGGTAATATAACTAAAGAAATTCCAGAATTTCTAATGATATAAAACAGATAGGTCAACAGATAAGACCAATTATTTAATTTTATTATGCCTTTTATCATATAAGTCAATTGTATAAATTATATTCTGAACTTTCAGTAAATTGTTTCCTCATTTGATAGTCTATTACTAGAATTATATCGTTAAGTAAAAAATTGTACGAGGAAAACGCATTATAATTCTGAGTAATTTAGACGCACAATTCTGGTTAACTCTATAATCAGAATTATGCATTTAATATACAGTATTGTGTTTAATTCTTGATTATGTATAATTTGTGATATTAACTGTCAGGTCAGATTTAATTTTTGATTTATATCGGAAGGTATTTAAAATCATAGTTTTTAGAATATAATAATATTTATAGACAAAATGACTGCACGTATTGTACAATAAATATCTATATATCTAATATTCTATCCTCATTGGTTGAGATAGTGCATATTTTTATAACATTTTGACGTCGTCATTCCATTTTTGCATCGAAGATTCTAAAAAAATCACATCAAACTAACGTAAAATATGTCTCGACCAATCAGATAAAGTAGTCCGACATTCCAAGTTAGAAAAACTTTAATGGTATCTTTATATTGTATAGGTAGAAGAGTTTTGTTATCCTTAAAGCAGTCTCGGTAAAAGTTTTTAAAATGTTTGTTCACGCAATTCGCCGAATTTCTAAACATATATTTAACTCCATTTGACAGCGTAAATATTTTAAATTAGGCGTTTGTTTATAGAAATCAAAAGTAGAAACACTTGTCTGAACAGATTAGATTTCTTGAAGACTTCCCATCCAAAATAGAAATGTAATAAATGCAACTTCTATTGATCTCAGATTTTCACAATAGAAAATGCAACAGAGCGTACTCAAACTATTCATTGTCAATCTTTACAAATAGATTTACTGATTGCATGTCGACTTGCTAAGAAGTCACTTCTGATTGAACAGGTAAAGATGACTCACTTAAGTGGCCATAGAGCATCAGACATGGACTATTGGTGATTGAATAAAGCTTAGGGTTTTTTTCACATAAATTGAAATTTAAACTGCAGGACAGACTGATCTCCGCATGTGCGATGTAATTGAAAAAATACTAGGCTGATTATATAATTATTTATAGAACATTTTATCCGGCTGACCAAATAGTATGCCATGAACAATACTTCCTGCCATTGTATACATTGTTTATATTTTTTTAAAATGGAATACAGTATTTATTATCATATATTAGTGCATTTTTACTACCAGTGACAATTATAGTTAAGATATAGCCTACTTCTATAACAAATTACCTTTCAAGAGCATTCTGCTCCACTTCATAAGACTGTTTTCATTCTTGTACATGATATTTTATAAACAAGTATTTTTAGTTTACTGTATATATATATATATAATATAAATTCTTTCTCAATGCACTCCTGTTTGGAAACTTCTCCGATTTAAATCCAATAGAGAATTGTTGAAACAAAAAAAAAATTGCTACGCGGAAACTCGCTGTTAAGGATTGTAAGAAGGGACGTCCCGTTTAGTATTATTTTTCAACTGAATATATTCAAAATTTGATCAAGTTTATGCCAGAATATTTCTTGCTGCTATAAAAGGAAATATTAAAAAATATTGATATATTTTTCATGCACGCTTCTGTTTTTAAAACCCTGTTGTTTTATGACAGTTTTCGTAATTAAAATAATGTAAACATATTAAAATCGGATGTTGGCCTGGGCGTCGGCAGGAAATTTTCCAGAGAGCAAAGCTTGGAGATAATTATATCAATAAATTTTCATTTATTTAAATTTTTGGGGTTTTTCTAAAGCAGATTATAGAATACAGTGTTGCATTAATACAAAAAGACAAAGTTTCCCATTGTCGAGGGTGTAAGATCACATATCTCAATCATTTTTTTTATGATTATAACTTGTGTAATTTTTTATTCGATCCCAGAGGGGGCAAGTGCCCGTTTGCCCCCTATACGGACTCCCGTGGATGTTGATATCTCATATTTTGTTGCTTTTTCTAATATATATATATATATGTAATTTTCTTTTTATTTATTCATTTACAGTTGTATAAATATTTAGTTGTGTATTTATGAATGTAAGAAAATTTTTATTTCTTCATATTATATAAATTAATGATCTAAATAGTTCAAGAAAAACCAATCTCGAAAAGTGTAGATTGCTCAACTTATAAAACACATATATTTTTAATATACTGACAATAAAATTAATATACAGTAGCTAGGCTATAACTTTCTTGTAGCTCCTCTTAGGTAGTATAAAAATGGTTAAATTTAGAATATTTTCTAAAAACTAATTATATATTAACGTATATATTGATTATATTACATTAGCAGGCCTATAAAATAATTCAATTTGAAATTTTATTTTGTTTTTGAGGGTTAAAAAAAGGAGAAATCCTCACTGTCTGGAACAAACTGAGAAGTCTTGTCATACAATATTAGGTATTTTAGGTAGTAAGTTTTTGAAGTGTATTATCTTATCATTCATGAAAATTGAATTTAGTGCCTTTAAGATTATTTTTTATACTTATAAGAATCTTTTAGAGAAAAATAATTTGGTATTTGAAAAATATTGCAATTCTAGGCTTCAGCACTCGAACTTTTGGTCCTGCATACAAAGGATTTCATTCTGGTAACCTTTATATTAAAGATATTTTCCGATGTATTTATATGAAAGATTATATGAAATATATTACACAACATGTATCCGAAATACATTTTGGCCTTTTGAAAATAACTTAAAACTGTATTCGTAACACCTGGTTCAGGCATTTTAATTGTCTATAAAAAAGAAAACAGGTTTTTTTCCCTTTCTGGTCTATAAGCACTGAGAAGGCTCAAGTATTAAATTTAACATATTTTCTTATTTGCCTTACTGTAGTTACTCTCTTGTTTGAAGTGACAGAAGGCATACATTTTACTTTGAACAAATTTCTATTAATTGAAGTCGGATGTTTGATACTAATTATGAGATTGTAGGATTTGCTCAAGAGGATCAGAGCGAAGCATATATGTAGCAGTAGAGTGAATGCTTTGGAATATGATAGACGAGAAATGCTGTCAGGAATTCAATTTGCATTAATCTTAACACTACTGGATGGAATACATACACCAAGCTATTCTACTATAGAATATGAATTATCGAGGAATTTTAATACTCAAATTAATCATTAACTGTAATCTCTATAATAAACTTGACGGATAACTGTCATTAATGACAGAAATTATCAGGGATTAATATTTGTCATATTAAAATTAAAACTTTCATTTTATTATTACGATTGATATAATTATGATAAAGATAAAGTTTATTTTTATATAATTTAATACGTAATAGGATCGATGAAAATGTCAGATTACAGAATTACTTTCAAATGTTAAACTTATTCATAATTGATTAAATAATGATTAACATTCTATTAATAAACATTTAAAGATTTTATTTATAAATTTCTAATTGATATTTTGTTCTTAAAATCGATATCTGTTTTTATATTTTCGGTATTTCTGTTTTAAATATAGTAATTTTTCATCAGAGCACTGCCTTTAAAACTCTTTCCTCCCTGTGGGCATGAAGGCCATTTCTCCAAGTCCATCACGAGTTCTGACATATCCAGAACAAATCACTTGTAAAAATTCCTTGAAATTTCTGACCCGGACCACAGCCTACAACTTATTGTAGGCTGTGGTCCTGGGCTCGAACCTGGGTCTCCCAGAGCGACAAGCTGACGCCTTTTCCTCCTCGGCGAATAGTTTAAAGGCAAGAATTCTGCCAAATATTTACCTTGACACTCATTCATGTGAAAAACAAAGATTTGAGATATACCAAATCTGGTCTTTTGCATCAGACATGCGATTATGGGAGGATGTTAAATTTAGTGAAGACACACAAGCTGGGAAAAATGTTAGTACAGTAAAATTTGAATAAAACGGAAAAATTATTCAGAACTGAACGAATTTTCTGTTAAATTTTACGATAAGCCGGAAATCTGTGCAGAGACGGAAAAGGTTTTCGTGTATGAAGAAGGTAACTGAAAGGTATTTGTTAATTGAAGGTAACTGAACTTGCTTGGATAAAGCGAAAAGTTAAGATTTCACGTGTAGACAAATAAGGAAAATCCCCTCCAGATCAGACACGTTGGCAGGGAAGAGGCTCGTGAA